GTTCCTTATTTTTAATAATTGCCAATGAAATAACTTCTTTTAGTTGATTAATTTTATTTATTCTTTTATTGATAAATTCTTTTTCATTACTTCTTTTTTTCTGTGCTTTTTCCCAATGAATGTTAACTTTATTATATTCTTTCTGTAATTGTTTACTTCTTTTATTTATATCTTTTAAAGCTTTTTCTTTATCCTTTTTGTTTTGTTTTAATACAATTATTTGTTGATCAATTTCTTTTGTATTTTGTTTAACTTGAACTAATGCATTCCGTTTGAGTGTTAATGTTTGTAATTCTTTTTTAATTGAATTGATGTCTTCTACAACACTTGTCATTCGAGACTTTGATGAGATTAACATTGATGAATATTTCTCTCTATTTACTTGATATTTAACACTTGCTTCTTCATATCGTTTAATAGAACTACTATTCTTTCTCTCAATTTCTTTATCAAGTATTGTTAATAAATCATTAATGTTCTTTGGTGATGGTTTAATTTCAAATGTAACTGTATCCACCACATCTTTTGACTGTACTAATAATAAAATAAAAAGTGTTAAAATCACTTTCATAATATTATAAAAATCAGTTCTTTAAGATCTTACTTTTGTTTTTTTTTCTTTTCTTAAAACTTTTTATATTTTGTTGATTTTTGTCTTTTGAAAAATCACTCTTTTGACTCTTTTATTTTGAACTTTGTTTTTGATTAATAATCTTTCATATCTTTTAAAACTTCTTTCTTTGCACTTTGTTAATTAGTAATTTAAACATAATTTTTTAATAAATTTATATTTTAATAAAAAGTAGTTAATTAAGTGATATTGTTGTTATTTTCTATTGTTCTTTGTTCACTAGAGACTAATCATATTTTTGTGTTTTATCTTTTAGTTTTCATCTTGTTGAAAAGAGTACTTTTCTATTCTTTAATACTTATTATTTTAATTGAAACGACATTTTTTCAAACATTATTAACTTAAATATTCCTATTTAAGTTATTATTTTATATTTATTTAAATTCTATTGTGTATTTAAAATTCTAGTTTCTTTATTTTCTTATTTTATGTTGAAAGAATATGCTTTTACTACAATATTACTAATCCATAATTTCATTTATTATCAGCAATAACAACATTCAATTCTTTTGTCTTTAATAATACCCCATATATATATTTCTAAATTCTTTATTAATAAATATACTTACAACATTAACAAATCAATAATACTACCATCTTAATAAATACACATTCGTCTAACATAATACATGACATTCCTTCATAATAAAGATATTTTATACAATATCCAATAGAAAAGAAAATAAATTAAAAATTTCAAACTCCATTCTTTATTATTATTAACATAAGTAATTTGCGAAAAGTAATAGTTTAGGAAAGAATAGGTTTTAATTATATACTAGAAATGACAGTCATAATTTTCACTAAGAAGAATTATAATAACAAGAATTTACAAAAAAAGAAACAAAAGAAAAAGAAGAATAAGTAATTGAAAATAAAAGACCTTTAAAGAAATACTCTAAAAACAAAATAAGTTAAAAATTAGGGTTGTAATCCACAAAGAAAAAAACAATTCAAAGAGCAATAAAACAGATAAGAAAAATGAAGAATGAAAAAAGAGAAATAGAATAATATAAATATACAAAACTAAAAAAAAAATGAAGAAAAAGAGAAAAAAAATGAAGATTTTAGAAAACGATAGAAAAAGTAGAAAATCTTTTTTGTGGGTTTTAAGAAAATAATTAGATCATCAAATTTGAATGTCAACAGTAAAACAGATTCAAACAGGATATATTGTTAAAGAAGGAAGTAATGTAAAGAGTTGGAAGAAAAGGTGGTTTGTATTTACCACTGATGGGAATATTAGTTATTATACAAATAGACAAGTTTGTAAGAATTACAAAAAGAAAAAGAAAAGAAATAACACAAATTTTTAGGAGACGTGTAAAAAAGGAGAAGTTGATATGAGACATGCAATAAAAGCGATTAAAGTAAATGGAAAAAAATTAATGATAGAAATTCATTTTGATAGTTCACGAGTATTTAGATTAAAGTTTGATGATGAAGAAGTAGAAGAAAGGTGGTATAAAAGTTTTATTGAATTTATTGAAGATAATAAAACATCACAAAATGGATTTTCACGTTATGAAGAAATTGATTTAAATAATTTTAATATTGGAAATACAATAATGCAAACAGATAAAGGTTCTGTTCAAACAGTTATTTATACAAGAACACAAATTAAATACTCAATGAAAACATTATTAAAACTAACATTAAATAGTGAAGAAATTGAATATATTGAATCAATTCATAATTCACTTAAATTAACAGAATGTCCATATTTATGTCGTACTTGTTTATCATTTCAATCAGAAAATTTACATTTTGTAATGAATGAATATCCAACAAAAAAATTGTCAGAAATAATGAATTCTTCTATTCTTCCTATTCCTCGTGTTAAATTTTATGCAACAGAGTTATTACTTGCAATTAATGCTTTACATAAATGTAATTATATTCATATGGAAATTAATCCTGAAACTGTTTTAATTACTGACGATGGACATATCTTTTTAACTACTCCAGTTGGTTTACGTGCTTCTTATAAATGTGGTTATAATTATTTTGCTCCTGAATTATTAGAAAAAAAACAACCAACTGCTGCTGTTGATTATTGGAGTTATGGTATTTTATTATTTGCAATGGCTTTTGGTGAAGCACCTTTTTATGATACAAACCCATCAACTGTATGCAAAAAAATTATCAGTGAGCCAATTAATTTCCCTTATAACACTTTCCCTGAAGTAGAAAGTTTTGTAACAGAATTACTTGTAAAAGATCCATCAAAAAGAAACTGTGATTTTGAAGCTCTAAAATTACGTCCTTTCTTTGTTGGAATTAATTTTGATCAATTCCAAAAGAAAGAAGTTTCTCCACAATAAACTAATTTATGAATAGTTAAAATTTATTTTTAAATTTATCTCTTTTTCATCAAATTCTTTGTGGATGTTGTTGGTTTTTTTTTAGAAACTATTTATTTCTTCAACAAGAATCTTTTTTCAATTCATGTTCTTTTTCTTTATGTATTGTTTCATTTATTTATATTAATTATCTAACTAAGTTTTAATGATATACACTCAGAAGATTTTTTACTTGAGGAAATTCCTATTAATACTTAATTTATTACTTGTTGTATTAATTATCTCTTAATTTGTTAATGATTTAGAAAAACTGTTTGATGATATAAAATTAGGAACTATTCCTAATTCTAATTTAAATATAAAAAATATAACAGTCTATTGCAACAAGAAACATAAAGTTACCAATCAATAGAAGCAACAAAAGAAAAGTAAAAATAATAATAATAACAAAACAACAAATTATAAATAAATAGCTTTCGTTAAAGGATTAACGTGAATCGTTACTGAAAAAAAAACAATATATTTTAAAGAAATAATCATTAGATTTGTAAAGTTATATTTATAAAATGGAAATTTTTTTTAAAAAAATATAATAACCTTAAAATAAAGAAACATAAATTATCAAAGTTCTAAACTAATGTGTTAGTTTGTATATCATTTATTCATTTTGGTCATATTTTTTCTCATACAATGGTAAGTATCTGCGTAGTTGAGCATCCTGAAGGTTTGAAACAAAATTTTTTCTCAACTTTCTCATATCAACAGAATCAATACGTTTCAATTCACCTGAAGTTAACAATGAATACCCTAAAAAGGTAAAAGTTTTATCAAAGCAAATGAAAACTAAAAAAGTCAATACACAAACATTCATAAGAATATACTAATAATTCTATTTCATATAATATTTTTTCTTTTTTATTAATCTTATCTGATTGTATAAATGAGTCAATAGAATCTAACTGATTATCAAAGGAATTAGATGATTGTAAAGGAGGAAATTCTATCTTGTTATGTCCTTTTGACTTAAAAGACTTCATTTTTTTTTTCTGTCTAAATGTTGTTGTCTATTATCTATTCCTTCCCTTTCGATTTTGTGAGCAGATGAGAAAAGTTAAAAATAACAGGATTATTAAAGAATCTAATAAAAAGAATGATTTCAAGATAAAACTTGAAATAAAAAATAGAAATAATAAAAAGAAGAGAACTAAAATAAAATAAAAAAAAAGGAATAAATAAAAAGAAAAATGGAAACACCAATAGTTTTGGATTTTGGGTCACAAACGTGTCGTGTAGGAAATGCCGGAGAATCTATGCCAACAAATATTTTTCCATCATACGTTGGAATTCCGAGGGAAAAGTCACAACTAAAACCTGACTTTTATGTGGGAAAAATCTTAAAGGAACAAAAACGAGAATTTCAAATCAAATCACCAATCAAAAATGGAACGATTGAAGACATTTCAATGGCTAGTGCATTATTTAAAAATGCATTAGATGAATGTCAAGGATATGGAAAACCTATATTATTTACTGAACCTGCACTAAATCCAAAACAAATTCGAGAAAAAACAATACAATTATTATTTGAAAGATTTAAAGTACCATCTGTATATTTTTCGATTCAACCAATTCTTTCTTTATTTGCATCAGAAAAGACAGACGGATTAGTTATTGATTCAGGTGCTGATATTACACAAATTATACCAATTTATGAAGGATATGTTATTTCATCATGTGTTCATAAACAATATGTTGCAGGAAATGATTTATTAGAATATCTTGTTTCCACAATTAGTGAAAAAAGAGATGTTAATCTTTCTACAGCAGCAGCAAAAGAAGTACTTGAAAATCAAGTTAAAAAAGATTGTCTTGTAGCATTAGATTTAATGGATGTAGTACGATTATCATCAGACCCAGATTTATTACGTACATACACTTTACCAGATGGAACAGAATTTTCAATTGAAGAAGAACGATTTTTATGTCCAGAAATTTTGTTTAGACCAGAATTATTTATTAGTGATGATGTTTTAGCAAAAGGATTAGATGTTGCATGTTATGATTGTGTAATGAAATGTGATATTGATGTTAGACGTTGTTTATTTAATAATATTTTATGTGCTGGTGGTAATACTCTTTATCCTGGATTTGCTGAACGTCTTGCTTCAGGTGTACAAAAATTATGTAATGACTCAATTGAAGTTGGTATTGAAGCACCAGCAGATAGACAATATTCATCTTGGATTGGTGGTTCAATATTTGCTTCTATTTCAGAATTTAATCAATTAGCTATCAATTCATTTGAATATGATGAATTTGGTGCACAAATAATAAATAAAAAATGCAAAATAAGTTGGGATTAATTAAATTTAAGAATGAAAGGTTTAATTGAAAAGTTTATAAGATTTTGATAACATAAGCTCCTTCAATGATAATATCATGACAAGTTGAATAATACTCTTCAGGTAAAGTTTTACCACTAAAAGTGAAGTTATAATGTTTAGCACCCTAAAAGATTAAAAGGTATTTAATAAATAAGAATGAAAAATAAAAAAAAGAAATAAAAGAACAAACGATAATACCATAATTGTTAGATGAATGAGAATAATAATCAAAATATACATTATATGGAAGAATATTATAAAAACATTCTTGTAATTCAGAAATACCATCTTCTTGTTGTGATGGAATAAGTACTGTTTCAAAAAGTTCTTCCCATCCAGAAATAGTAATTTCTTGTAATAAATTAGTAGTTGGCTTTAATCTAATTTGACCTAATTTTTTATTTGAAGAATATTCAACTTTTGCTTTCTTACCATCACCACAAATATAATATTCTTGACCATTATTTAATTGAGTTCCAATAATATCATCATATTCTTTATTTCTTTTATATTTTAATTTAGTTGCATCAAAAATATCAAATGATTCATTATATGATATCCATGAATCAAATGCATATGTATTTCCACATAAATATATATCTTCTGTAGTTGACATTTTACCTAAATAATATTCTTTTGTATGTCCTAATTCTTTTCCTCTAACAATAAATCCTTCTTCATTCCATCCAACAATAACTGATGATGATACATATCCTGAATGATATTGTATTTCATCCACACCATACTTTCCATTTTTACTAATAGCATTTGTACATTTAATATTTTCTTCAGTTAAACTACCAAGATTTCTACACCTTTTATATTCTGGATGGTTAAGAATTAATGGAGCTTTATTTTCAAATAAAGCTCTTTTAATATCATTAACTTTATGATATTTTTTATATTGATTAACTGAAATTTGAATAGAAGTTAAATTAACTATATCATAATTTGATATATTCATTAATGTATCTAATTTAGGTAATACAAATACATCTGTTGGTTGTCCTCTTTCTTTAATAATATCAAATGAAATACCAGAATAACCACCAAATAATTTATAATATTGACACTCACTTTTAAGTTGGTCATTAATACAATCACCTTGAAATTCGTTACGAACTAATTCATCTAATTTATTAGGAGAAATTGATGCATAATTGTTATGCCCTAATCTAGCATTTAAATGCAAATACTCAGTATATAATAATGATAAATAATAAGCAGAAACTGATGAATAATCAAAAGTTGAATTTCTATAATGAAAATGGTTTTTTGAAGCATTAGTAGCAATAATTGGAATATTTGGTAATTCTAAAATAAAAGTATTTGGTAATTCAGTTTCTTCATAATAAATATTTTGAATTGAATAAATTTCACTTACAACACCAACATTAGTTTTTAAAATAACATATCCAGTTAGTAATTGAATTAATATTAATGCAGTCCAAATTAAACACATTGGAGCATGTTGATGTATTTGAAAAAATATTTTCATTTTTAATGACTGAAAGAAATTGATAATTTGTGCTTTATTAATTCTCATTAAGTTGATATTAAAATATTTTTTTTTATTTCCTTTAACTTTTTAGTTCCATTTTAAAAAGGATGAATATTAAATTACTAGTTTTAATTCTATTATTTAATTTCTATTTTCAAGATGAATTATTGTTGTGAAGTAAATATGATACTCTCTGTTGATGTTTTAGCATTTGTTTGTTCTTGGTTAAATGATGTACACCCAACAACACACAAAGCTTCACAAAAATGTTTTAATCCCCATTGTTCATTAATAGAATCAAATTGTTTTTGACTAAATTTTCTACCAATACGTTCTAATTGCATTCCATTATATTTAAACTGTTCATGACGTGAGACAAATGTTTTTAATGAACGTTGATCTATTTGAGTTCCCTTAACAATAAAAATGACAAGTTCGGGATATTTTAAGATTGTATTTAATGAACTTGACTTAATTTGATTATTTGATATATCAAAATATTTTAAAGCATTTCCTAATGGTGTATTTTGAAGTTGGGTTAATGTGTTATTTGTTAAATTATTATTTGTACATATCAATGAATCTAATGGAACATCTTTTAATTGTGTCATAATTGAGTCTTTAATTCTACATTCACTAATATTAAGACTCTTTAAATGTGGTAATGCTGCTATATCATCAATACAATTTGTTGCAATAGATGTAGCAGAAATATTTAATGCAACAAGACAATCAAATCTTTTTGGTATTAAAAATTGTGTTAAAAGAGTATGTGATATATTTAATGAATAAACACATTTAGGAAGGTATTTTAAAGCAAAATTTGGTGTTCTTCTTGGTAGAGTTAACTCATGAGGAAATGGTGGTTGAGTAAGTACTTCACAAAGTTGTTGATATCTACACAAGGCACAACGACATTTAGATAATCTTGAATTTCTATGAGGTGGAATATGTATTTCCAATAATTTTAATGTTAAAATATTTAATAATTCAAAAAGATATTGGTGAGTTTCTATATCAGAAGGTGTTTGGATAGGTAATTTCCAAAGAGAATCATACAATCGTTGCATATCTCAATACACCTTTATTAAGTTTACTTTTGTAAAAAATGAAACTATAAAGAATAATATTTTTATTAATAATTAAATTATATATTTATTACGTTTTTTTAATACTTTTAATATTATTCAGAAGATGATAATGAAAAAAGAGAATAGTATTAAATGAACTAACTCTATTCCTTCATTTCTCTCTTAGTCAATTAATGAACCAATCCTTTTTATCTCTATTTTATATTTTTATTAAGAGATTAAAAAAAAAAAATAACAATTTTACTCTTTTGAGAAATATTCAACTTATTAAATTAGTTTTATTAGATTATTTTATTTTTTTTTCACAAAGAGTAATACTAACTTTAATGTTTTTTTATTTCAATTTATTAAAGATAAAAGATTAGTTTTAGTCAAATTAATATTTTAAGTAATGAAGATATAAAATACTAAATAAAGTATTAAAAGTACATTCATAAAAAGTACAAAAAGATGTGAAAACGAAGTAAATTTTCACTGTTTTGCATTAACAATACTATTAAAAATTTATCATGATGGTCTTCAACAACTTTATTATTAAATCACTTTCTTAATAAAAACCTTATTATGAAATTAAATGTTACTAATGACTTTCTGACCTTTCCTTTAATAATTGTCAATATAATACTCTAATACTCTTTTAAGATATCTCTAAAAAGGAAAAAAGTGGTGAAATTGCATTTTATTCTCAACAAAAATTTTTTTGTTTAAGTCGTTCAATTAAAATTCTTTTGAATAAAATAAAAAAAATTGAAAAATTATGTTATATAATTTATTGTATCGTTTTTTGTTATCTTTTTCAAAGTTCGCTTTCATTATGGGGAAGATGTAAAGAAATAAAGATAATGAAAACAAAACACTAAATTCACTTTGAAACGAAGCAGTCTTACTTTCCCGTTTTCCATCAATAGAACAGAAAAACTGAAAATAGGAAAAATAAAAAAAGAATTGCATTAAAGTAATGGAAAAAGATAGAGTGAAAGAAAAGGAAATAAGGAGAAGAACTTAAAAAGATAAAAAAAACGGCAGGGTTTTAGAAAAAATAAAAAGATCTACGAGGTAAAAGAAAAAGACGGCGAACAATCTTAATTTCTCAAAAGACAGAAAATGCAAGCCGTCAAATGTGTCATTGTAGGTGATGGAGCAGTAGGAAAGACATGTCTTCTTATTTCATATACAACTAATGCTTTTCCTAATGAATATATTCCAACTGTTTTTGATAATTATTCAGCAACTGTTATGGTTGATTCCAAACCAATTAATCTTGGACTTTGGGATACTGCTGGACAAGAAGATTATGATAGATTAAGACCATTATCATATCCACAAACTGATGTATTCTTAATTTGTTTCTCAGTTGTCTCTCCACCATCATTTGATAATGTTTCATCTAAATGGCAACCAGAAGTTTCTCATCATTGTCCAAAGACTCCATGTTTATTAGTTGGAACTAAACTTGATATGAGAGAAGATAAAGAACAATTAAAGAGATTAGAAGAGAAAAAAATTACACCAATTACTACTGAACAAGGTGAAGCTAAATGCAAAGATATTGGAGCTGTTAAGTATATTGAATGTTCTGCTTTAACTCAAAAGAACTTAAGACTTGTTTTCGATGAAGCTGTTAGAGCTGTTATTTCTCCAGCTGGAGGAGCCAAAAAAGATAAAAAGAAAGGAGGATGTATGCTCTTCTAATTTATTGTTTCAATTTCTTTTATTCTTTTTTTTAGTTAATTTCTTTTAAAGTAATAAAAAAAGAAATATTTTAGTTAAACTCATTTTTTTGATTAAAAAAATGTATTTAATTATTTACTAAAACAAAAGAAATAAAATAAATTCATTCATTAAACGAAACGAGTTGATCTTTATGAATATCTTCTAATGTCCATATTGTTTTACCTTTTTGTAATTTTAAATTAGTTTGGTTATTAAATAAATAACTCATTTTCATTAAAAATTCTTTTGCTAATGTAATGCTTTGATCAGCAGAAATATCAGTAAATCTTTTTTCTAAAGCATCAACAATCCATTGGGGCATAGAAGAAATAATTTTATTATCATTAAATTTATATCTTTTATCTGCATATATTGCAACAGCATAGTCATTTTTTCCTCTTATACATCTTCCCACACATTGATTACAAGTTCTCATAGCATCAAATATTAAATATTCATCTTTTGAAATAATCTTTTTATTATCAAGATATTCAATTCGTTCTTTAATTGTAAGAATTTCTGATTGAAGGTAGGGAGCTCCTATAATTAAAACAGCTCGAGCAAGATGATTTGTAAAATTTATTCCTTCAGATAATCTGCCACGAGTAACACAAAATAATATAGCACCTTTACCAGTATGACAAGCTAACCTATAATTTTGAAAAGCAAGAGATGTTTCCTCACTATCATTTGATTCTACAAATATTAATTTATTAGAGTAGATAGATTCTATAATTTTCATTTCATCCCAATATGAAATACAAATATTCATATATGAATAACTTGGAAAGAAACATAAAATACCATCAGGTACAGTTTTAGATAATTCTAGTATTAATCTACCATAAGAATGAATAATTAATCTATTTGTTCTATATGCGTATTGTGATGAAAATAAAATTCTGTCTTGTTTTATTTCAGTTCCTGGAGTATCAGAACTTTGTGATGTAATTGAAATACTATCAAATCCTTTTGTTACAAACAATGGACAAATTCTTCTCATACTACTAAAAGAAGATGTTATTTGTTTTTCTTCAACAACATTATTTAAGCCAAGAATATTAATATACGTTTTTAATGGACTTAATGTTCCTGACGTAAAAATTATTGAATGAAATTTATTTAATATTGGTTGAATAGCATGTGCGGCATCAACACAAATTAAATTTAACACACTATGAAAACAATTGTCTTTGTCCATTTTTACAACATCAGGAACATAAGAAAATCCTTCCTGACAAGAACAGAGTAATGCTGCAAAATCTGCTACAAGATATAAGTCATCGTAATAAAACGAATCTCCTTTTACATCCTGTCTTCCTCCATATTCATCTCCAAGTGCCTTAATAAGTAAATGAAGTCTAAGAGGAATAAGACTAACAATTTCTGGTGTTAATGCTAAAGAATTACAAAATGAATCAACTATATTTTTAATTGGAATTGAACAATGTTCATTAATATGTTGCTTTTTGTGTATATGAGCTTCACGTAATTTCTCTCTAAAGAAATTAACAATATCATTCATCAAAACAACAAATTGAATAGAAGTTGTTGTATCAATTGGAATGTTATTTTCTTCTTCTATTCTTTTTGTTGGTTCTGAATGTCTAAGACCTTCTACAAGTCGTTTATATTCATTTTTTAAAGGTTTTTTTGATTCTTCAATTGAAAGAAGTTTTGTAAGACGAACTAATGAAATTGTTGCAAGTTCTAATGTATCTAATGATAATGTTAGTGTTTGTGCATCAACAACAACGTTATCTACATTATGTGCTTCATCAAAAACAAGTAATGTTTGATGTAAATCACTCATTTTACCAACAGTAACATTTTCTACTTTAGGATCAAGAATATAATTATATGTACAAACTATAAATGGTGATTTATAAAAGTTGTTTCTTGAACAGAAATATGGACATCGTTGATGTTGTTTACCAAATTGAACTAATTCATCTATTCCAGCAACAATTGGTATTTCATCTTCTATATCATGATAATATGGACATAATCCTTTATCTCTTTTTTCTTGACACTTTAACTGTGAATGTTTACTTTCTCTTACATCATCCAATAAACATAAATGAGCTCTTGATGCTAGTACAACTGATGGTATTGATAATTTTGTTAGTTCATTAAAAATTTGTTTAATTTCATCAATAGTACGAGTACAATAAATTGTATGTGAAATGTTACTTCCTTGATTGTCCAATAATCCTTTTGCTGCAGTGATAATACTTACAGTCTTTCCAGTTCCAGTACCCATTTCAATAATAATTTGTTTATGTGGTGGTTTTTTATTATTTGTAACTCCACTAGTTACTGTTTTAATGAATTGATATTGTTCTGGATAAATGAATTGGTATGGAAAATGAATTTCAATTCCATTAACAGTAAATATGATACTCTGTTGTTCTTTCTCATTAATTACTTCCATTAATTCTCTTTCAAATTTAATTTCTTTTTTTCATAACTTTAATTTCTTTTCTTAAAACAAAAAAAAAGATTTTCTCCAACACGAACAATTAAATTATTTTGTTATTTAGGTACTGGAGGTGGTTCTGAAGCACCTGTTTTTTCTTCTTCCATTTTCTTTGACTCTTCTTTTGGTTTTTCTTCAGTTTTTTTCTTTTCCTCTTCTGCTTTCTTTTTAGCTTCTTCTTCTGCTTTTTTCTTTTTCTCTTCTTCTTCTTTCTTTCTTTTTTCTTCTGCAATTTTTCTTTCTTTCTCTTCTTTCTTTGCAACGATATGTTTAACTAATTTTTCAGCCTCAGCAAGTTTTGCCAAATAAACACTCTTTGTTTCATTTTCTCCATCTTCATACAACCAATCAACATATTTTTCTAATTCATTTGAAATTTTTGAAGCCTCCTCTTCAGTTGTGAATTCAGCTAAACAACCAAATAATAATTTATCTTTCATAGAATATACAAAAGCTTCTAAATTGTTTTTAGCATGAGCAGTATCAATAAATAATTTATCATCAACTTGCATTTGAGCTTCTTCAGCAAGATATTTACTAATATCTTTTTCACACATACCAACACTATGAACATTAACTTTAACAGGATATTCTTTATTTACCATTTTCTTTACTTTTTTAGTAATTGTCTTCTTTACCATTTTAACTTTCTTTTCTTCTTTTGGTTTTTCTTCTTCCATTTTCTTTGGTTCTTCTTTCTTTTCTGTTTCAGCTTGTACAGGAGCTTTTGGTTCTTCTTTCTTTTCTGTTTCAGCTTGTACAGGAGCTTTTGGTTCTTCTTTAACTTCTTCAGGTACTTCAATAACTTCTTTTTCTTCTACTTCTTCTTCTACTTGTTCACATAATAAAGCATCTACAAGTTCTAAAATTCCACTTTTATTTAAGGCAATTCTTAATTTTAATTCTGGTGTTTTTGTTTGGGCTTTTGGTAATTCTAAAACATCAAGAGTAATTCCAGAATTTAAAGTTCCTGGGAAGAAAACATTATTATCACTATAGTTAACATCTACATGAAGACCATTAGCATCTTTAATTTTAAGAACTCTAGTAATTGGGAATGAAGAGTCTTTAGAAATAAATTTCATTGGTGCAACAGTTTTATTATCAGTCTTGAATCCCATATTAATTTCATATGGTGGAATATCTTCAACAACATAATCTCTTACTTTGAAATATGGTTGTAATTCTGCACATGCAATAGCACATCCACGTGCAATAGATTCTTCACAATTAATTGTTTTAGATAATGGTTTGTTAAGAGTCTTAACTATAGCGTCTTGAAGAGTATTTAATCTAGTACCAGAACCAGTAATTTCAATTGAATGAATTTGTTCAATAGTCATACCAGCCTTTGTAATAGTTCTTTTTATAAGTTCAATAATTTCATTATTAAGATGACAAGTTAATTCATCAAATTTTTCTCGAGTGAATTCCATATGATAATCTCTTTCTTCATATAAAGTATCAAGATTTAATATGGCTTTTGGACTTCCACTAGAAATAACTCTCTTAACAGACTTTTCAATTCCTGATAAAATTCTATTCCACATTCTTAAATTATTCATTGGATCAATTTTCCATTTTTGTTGAATATCTGCTCTGACAAATTGTCCAAGTGCTTCATCATAATTACGTCCTCCAAGTTTCCAATTATATTCAACAGCAAGAACTTTCATTTTAGATTTAAGAAGAGAAATAACTGAACATGTAGTATTACAATGTCCAACATCTAAAATAACAACTGGACGTGGCTCAGTTTCACTTAAATCAGTTTTATAAATACCATAAGCTAATGCAGTTGCAGTATGTTCATTCATTAATCTTAAACATGAAATACCAGCAATTTTAGCTGCATCTAACATTGCAATTCTTTGATTTTCAGTGAAATAACCAGGAACAGAAATAACACAATCAGTAAAAATGTCTTTAGTATATTCTTCAGTAAATTGTTTAATTTGAATTAATAACATTGCAATAATTTGTTCTGGTCTAAATACTTTTTGTTCTCCTCTCATCATCACTTTCATTCCAATCATTCCATCTTCTAATTTAACTGTTTGATATGGTAATTCTTTTAATTCTGTTTGAACATCTGGACAATCATATTGTCTTCCAATAAGTCTTTTAACATCTACAACTGTATTTTTTACATTTCTAAGATACAAACTAAAACCAGCTTCTCCAATAGCTCTTTCTTTATCATTAAATGATACAAATGTTGGGGTTTGTCTATTAGAGACTTCATTAACAACAATATCAATTCCTTTCTTACGTACTACTGCAACAGTAATATTTCTATTTCCAATATCAATTCCAACTGCAATAGGCATACAAATCAATCTACTGAAGTTCTGTCTAAACCCTCTTTTATTGCTTCTTTATGTTATACGTCATTGCCACGTTCTCACATTGACACGTACATTTTTTCTTTTGAAGAATTGTATTTATAATGTTTAATAAATGTATTATATATTTATTATATTTATTTCTTTTATACAACTATTGATGATTAGTAAGGCTATGGCATACACATCTAAAATAACTTTGTCATTCTCCAATCATATGACATTGTATTGTTTGCATTAAGTCAGACATTACAAATAACCACAAGTTAAGAATGTTGTTTTTTATAATAAGTTAAAAATTAAAGAAGAGAAGATACTGAATATTAAAAACTCAAAGAATTATTTTCTAGATGTTCTTTTTTTTGAAATGCTTAAAACTAATTAACAATGAGTCATCAAACCAAACTAAATAAACAAACACAACCATTAACATTTGAAGAAATCAAAGATTATTTTAAAAGATATCCAGACAGAAAACAAATGGTTTTTGATATTGTTACTAAACAAATATTAGAACATCAAAGTGATAAAGAAATAGAAATACACTTAGAAGAATTGAAAATAAATAAAATAGATGAAGAACAATACAAAATTTATTTTAATTTTATTAATGAAATTAATGGAGAATTAAAACACTAAATTAATTTTAAATTGATGTGATAATTGAAGAAGTTGTTGTTTCTCTGTTGGATTTAAAGGAATTTTTTTATAACTTATTAAATGAATTTGTGTTAATTTATTTTCATATAAAATGAACATTTGGTTATTATTATTTTGAAACACAACTCGTACAATTGTTCCAATAGAAAAAATGTTCATTGACTCTATATCTCTTTCAGTAATAATATACTTTTTAATACAAAGAGGATTTCTATTTAATAAACGACAAATACAATAACTACATTGTGCATATTCAATCGCTCTTTTTCCTTTTGAATCAATGATAGTTGTATTACAATGGTTTTGTATTAAAATATCAACACACTCAGGGTGATTCATTGCTACTGCATAATGAAGTGGAGTTTTAAGGAATGAGTCTTGAATATTAATACAAGATGGATATTTTTTAATAAGTAATGGAATAATATAAGAATTTCCACAACAACAAGCAATATGTAAAGGTGTCCTTTTAAGATGGTCTTGAGGAATATCAGTATAATACCTTTTCAATAAATTAATCAAAAATGTGTCTGAAGTATTAGCTAGAACAGCATAATGAAATGGACTATTTCCATATTGATCTATTTGTTGAGGATTAACACTATATTTATTTATTAATTCTAAAGTTATAGAAGAGCATCCTGATAAACTGCCTATATGAAGTACATTCTGTTGATAACTATTAACTTCTTTAATCATACTCTTTTCTTTTATTTTATCATATAACATTCTAAGAATATTACGTTCTCCTCCAGACACAGTATAATGAAATATATTATTCTTATAATTATCTACTTGGTGAATTAAATCTATTTCTTGTTCTAATAAAACAGAGACAATGTCATAATGTTTATAATAACAAGCTAATTGTAACGCATTTTCCCCTTCATTCCCTTTATCTAATAAACAATTTTTACCTAGAATTTTTATTATTGTTAATAAACATGACTTCCTTCCAAAACTACTTGCATATAATAGAGGTGTCCATCCATTATAAATTCTTCTTTTTAATGCTTCCTTATCCCAAATACATATTAATTGTATTAATTCAGGAAAGTCATAATAAATAGTATAATAAATTAAATGAAATCCATCATTATCACAAAGATTTTGTTTATTAAAATCAATTTCCATTTGATGAAGTTCTTTTTTCATTAATTCATTAAATCCATTAAATTTACCACTTTCTTGAATTTCATATAAACAATTTTGTAAACAAATAACACTGTTCTCTTGATATCCATATAGTTTAAGTAATTCACCAACAATTTCAATTTTATGACTTTTAATTGAATAATGAATTAATTGTCTTCCTTTTTTATCAGAATATGCATTATTGGTTAATCCTTTAAATAATAATCTAATACTTTCAATATCTCCTTTTTCTAATGAAATCATAAGTGGTATTTGACCATAAATATTAGGTTTCATTGGATTAGCACCAAGTGTTAATAATTCATTTATTGCTTTACTGTTTTTATATTGAGCTGCAATAAATAATGGAGTTGCTTTATATATATTAACTTGATCTTCAATAAATCGTTTTAGTTTATATTTTTTATACCATTCTAGTAAATAGTTTGTTTGAGCTAAATAATGCATAATACAAAATCCTTTAACATCTCTTTGAATCAATTCAACTGATGTCCAATTTAATTTCATGCCTTCTTCAAGTAATTCAATAATCTTTTTTTTTCCTTTATGAAGTGCAACAAACAATGGGGTTATTCCTTTATTATTTTTTTCATTCATTTTACACCCTCTTTTAATTAACATTTTTAAACATTCTTCATTCCCAATAGACACACAATTCCCAATCAAACTCGTTCCATGTTTATCTTTCTCAAAAATACTTTCAGGATATTCATCAATATATACTTCAATTAACTCCTTTTTTTTACAAAGAAGTAATTGGTGAATTGTTCCACTCGTATTATGCTCTTTTGGATAATATTCCAAAGGGCAATTCATTTTTAAAGTAGTTATTTAACTCAATTTTAGTTCTTTTCTTTTTTCTTTTATTCTCATTTTTTCTTTCATTAAAAAACATGAAAACCAAAATTTTCTTTTTTACACAAAGATTGGAACAAACAACTTGGTATCTCTTACATTTACATTAAAACTTTCTTTCTATCTACTGACATTAATGACCTACTTTTTCTTACCTTTTTTCTATTGTTGCATATTAAACGTGGTGTACGAGGTACTTTCTCTCTTGTTAATGGAGAATCTTTTATAAAAGTTTTCTCAAAAAATAGTTTTGTTTCCTTTAAAAAAATAGGTTGTTCCCATTGAATGTTTTCATAAATATTAAACTCTTCCTCTTTATTTTTTTCAATACTTATATGACTTTCTTTTTTTGTTTCTTGAGTATTGTCTTCTTGTTCCCATGGCATTGGTTCATTAACAATAATTTTTGAATGTTTTTCTTTGATACTTTTTTTGTTGTCTTCTTGGATTGTTTGTTGTTTTTCAATAAGAAATATTGGATAATCTTCAATACTAAAATAAGTTTTTTTCAATTCTATTAATAATTTTTTTAAAGGTTTTAACTGGTTTCTTATTTTTAATATCTTTCTTCTTTCTTCTTGTTCGTTGTCAACTATATGCATAGGTTGCTCACATTCTTCGCAGAAAAACACTCCGTTGTAAAAATTGTCTATTCCTCTTTCGTATGTACAACTCCATCCACAAAAAATATTCGAACATTTTAAGAGTGAGGTTGATGATTCATTTTCAGGTAAGTTAGTAAGGATGAGATAAGACCCAACTATATCCCTTATGGTTTTGAAATAGTCTATAAAGTAATAACAAACACCTTCTACTTTTTGTTTGATGATACTATCCCTAACCAAGTCTGAAATGAGTGGACGAACAACTCGGCGAGGTAAGCATAGGCGTTGGGCTATTTCCTTACTGGTTAATGCTTTTTGTGAGTTTTGGATAGTGATAATAACAAGTAAGTGAGTTGAAGAAAATAAAAGACCTACTACATATTGGACGATAGTCTCACAGAGTTGGTATTGTTTAGACTGCTGCATGACAGGATATGATGAAGTTCTGATGATATGTGATTGTTTTCACTTTTGAAATAAGTTGATTTATTCATTTTATTCACAACAAAACTATTCTCTTTCCTTTTCATTTTATTTGATGTGATTTCTCGTTTTGGCATCTATTTACACATTACAGTTTAACAAATAAGAAGTTGTGATGAAACAAAGAAATAAGTCAAAAAAAGAAAAGATGAAAGAGAAATAAAAGAAGATAATGAATAGAAGAAAATAAAAAATAAAGCATAAACAAATAAATGAATTAAGTAATGAATAATTTGTTTATCTTATTCATTGTTTTGTCAAAAAATAAGGAGTAAAATATTTTTCAACAATAAAATAATGTTAATTATTTTGCACAATTAAATTATACATTTTTTTGAATAGTTTTATTTTCTGTATTAAAAATGCTGCATCATTTATTTCTTCTTTCTTTTCTTCTTTTATTATCTCTTTTTAATTTATTACTCTTTATCTTCTTTCTTTTTATCTTCTTCTACTTCATACTTTCATTTTATTCTTTTATATTTTCTCTTTTTTTTCTATTATTTGCTTTTTTGTTGCCGATTTTAAAAGAAAGAAAATGAAATGATGAAAAAGAGAAATAATTATACTATATTGTTTTAATCATTGAAATATCATTTTATCTTCTTTTATTTTAAGAATGATAATAAAGAAATAATTAAATGATAATATTGAGAATAATATTATCTGATATTATCGTTATTTTAGTTCAATCTATGAAACAAATACAAATAAATTGAATATTTATTAATTATACAATGATTTTTAATGAAATAACTAATTAAAATAGAAATATGAATAACACATTGAATAAATGATAAATAATTGATTCTTTATACCGTTTTGTATTTTCTTTTTGATTTATTTATTAATATGTTTATTATTATCATTTCATTTGCATTTATTATTTTCTATTAATTAAATGAAAACCACCATTCATTATATTGTACTATGTTAAAAGTGATACAAATAACAAGTGCATCAAATAATAATGAATTATAAAAGAAATAAACAAATGTTAAATTTATTCTATTTTATATTTAAAACTTAAATTATCAATCTGATATAAAACAATAATAATAAAATGGAATTATCTTTAATGAAAATAGAATATTACAAATATTCAAATTTGAATATTCACATCTATATGAAATAAAAAGAAGGAATAGTAATAACTAAAATGTACTACTAAATAATATATATAAAATATTAATAATTAACATGGTTTTGACTCACATTTTAAGAATAATTTGTTTTAAAAATAATAAGGTGTAAAAATAATTAATATTTTTCATTCAATAAAATGATTATTATCTCATACCATAATAAATAAAATGATGTATTTAATACAATGATTATTTTAATCATTTTATTTTATATCAATTTGATATAGTATTAAAAGAATATTTAATTTCAATAAATATATCACAAATAAAATAAGAAGAACAATTATCTTATTCATTAAGAAAGAAATGATATCAATAAATAAAACAAAATATGAATAATAATATGAATAAAAATGATATTTGAATGATAAAAATAAAGAATTAATTTTATTCATCTTTATCCATTCTTCTATTTTAATGAATGAATTGATTGAATTATGTTATTTTGATTAATTAACATAATAATTAGATTGAATAAATTATAAATATTTAGTATTTCAATAATTCATACTAATAACATTGAAAATGAATATTCTTGTAATTATTTCTTTATTTGATTATAATCATTCAATATTTCATATTATTTTATTTCATTCTTTACTGTCGTTTGTAATTTATGTATTAAATGAATATTTTGTATAAATTAATATTGAAAATGATTTAATTCAATTATTTAATAATAATCAATCCAATCTTTATTGAATATTTAAAGATATTTTATAATCATCATAATTGAGATTAATTTAAAAAAACTAAAACTTAGAAAAACATGAACAAAACAAAGAACTAACAATATTTGATAAATTTGATAGATTCAAAATACATAAAAAAGATATAAATAATATTACAGAATAATTTCATAATTGAGCAATGACAATAATCACATGATTGAAAAAAAGATTTCAATAACAAAAGAAATTGTTTCAAAACACAGAAAATTGAAAGAAAAAGAAACAAGTATAAAATGGGTTGATTGAATTTATAGATTATAATAATACACAACAATATATTAGAACAATTCATAATAAAATACCCAAATGTTTTTGATGACACTACGATAATCAATGGAACATAAATAACAAGTATTGTACTTTTGATTATAACAGTTAGATATGACTTAACAACAATCAAAATGATTATGAGATTAATAATAGAAATGTACCAATACAAACAAGAATTGTAGATTGAAATATTGATATGATTTATGAAAAATATTATTTTAGAAGAAGTAATTTGAAAAAATAAGAGGCAACAACAGTGATTAATTAATTCTATTCGATATATTACAAACAAACTCAATTAGAAATAATCAAGAAGATGAAGAACAAACACACCATACAATTTTAATGAAACGTTTCAAAGAAATTATGCACATATGAAAAGTGATGAATTATGTATGATTAATGAAGTAGTTACATGATATCATGCAAATGTTAATGATAATTAATGATAATACCAATTAAGAATAATCTTGTTGGAATATCATTCATTATTTAATTTGTTAAATGGGAGTAGAAATAAATAATAATGATTAAATGAATAATTCAGAGAATTTGAACAATATGATATGACATAGAAAAGTATGGATTAAGTATGATTATAAAATGAAGAAATGAATTTGGTTATACTTTTCAAACAAGTAGAGTTTGTTTATGTTTTTGATGATGAAAAAGTGTAATTAATAATAGAGAGTTTTCAGAAAAAAACAAGAAAGTAATAATGATGAAAGAAGTTTTGTAAAATTGGATAAAGTTGGTGAAGATAAAGAAAATAATGATAGAAATGTGAATAATAAAGAAGAAGTGAAGAAATAACAGAATAAATTGAAATGAATGAAAAGAGATTGATTAATAAATGAAAATGAACAATATTTCAATATCATTTTATCTGAAAAATATAACAATATGAAAATAAGAATAAATCATTTTCAGATCATTTCATCAATTAAGATTAAAAATAAACTTACTATTCCTTCATTTTCATTATTAAAAAATAAGAATAAAAATAATAAAAAGAATAACAAATAACTAATAAACCAAGCTGTGTTTTGTTGATTTGTAATTATATTGAGTTTAGTTATTTTTTTTCTAATGTTTAATAGGTTATTTGTTTGAGATTTCTCATTAAATTGAGTTTACAGATACCAAATTCGAGTCAAAAATATACAAAACAATCCAACAATGTGGAATTATTGGATATTTATTACCAATGGATATTCAATTGAGATTAGTCTACCAATCCATTTTAGTACGAATTCATTTCAACTATTCATAATTAACGAAATTTATTTACATTCAATTACAAAGAGTTTTGAAATAACAAAAAAATGTTTTATGTGAACAAGGATATGAAAAGAGATGAAAATGAAAGAAGAAATAGAAGAAAAGAAGAAAGTCAATAAAAATACAAAATGAAATATTCAAAAATATAAAACATGAATAAAGAAAATAAATAAGAAAGAATGATTCTTTGTTGTATTTTCAAATTAATTAATAACCAATATTAATATATAATGAAATGAATATTAATGAGAATAATTCAATTTAAATAAAATGAAATATGAATAATGATAAATAATCCGTGTTTCAATGAATAAAATATTATTTAATTTTCATATTTCATAAATTAATTAATTATTTCATTTATTATTCATTTTATTTAAATTATTATTTATTTAAAATATAAACTATCATATTTTATATTAACTTATTGAAAATAAATTCAAATAAAAATTCATTTAGTTTATTTAATGTTTTTAAATTAGTTCATTAAATTGTATTGTATAAATATAACCTTATTGTCTTTTTGATG